GCCGCCCAGTCCCCGGTGGGTGGCAGGGCGAGGACGCTGAGCGAAGGCAGCGCCCCTGCGCTGTGTCCCTCCTGTTTCCTGCGGGAGTCAGGGGCCCAGCAGCCGTGGGAAGCTGGATTCTAGCCCGGCGGGGGCTCCGCGGGCTGAGCCTCGGCCGCGCCAGGGAGGGTCCTGGGCTTCGCTCGGGTCAAGGGCGCGCGCCCGTGTCGCAGGGTGATCCCGGCCGTGGGGCGCGTGTGGGGGGGTCGACGTGAGACACATCGATGTCCCCGCCCCCCGCTCTCTCTCAAAAGATGAGTGGGAAAATAGGGTGAGGATCAACAAAAAAACAAGCAGAGAAGAACCTGGGTTCGAGGGCCGGAGCCTGCGAGTTTTGGAGCAGCGCCCTTGAGGCGCGTTCGACTTGGGGCGTTGTCCTGGCCGCGCCAGGCCGTGGAGGGGCAGGCGCGGGAACCCTCGGCCCGCCTCCAGCTCCCAGGCCAGTGCTTGGCGCTAACAGAACGTAAGACGCCGGGGTATCCAGGCAGATGGGAATCTCACCTCTGAAACGAGGTTAGCCGCACACTGCCAACACTTCTTCTGGGGTAATGAGTAAGCATACGCAGAGAAATGCTCATAAATTATAACACAGGGCAACTTATGCTACGATAAAAATATGTGCATGTTTCTCAGGGAGCAAGAGCGGTGAAAAGGGAACCCGAAGGCAGACAAATGTGTTTTTTTTTTAGGTAAAAGAGCAGCTTACAGTCATAGGTGTGTGCACGGAAGGACATGCAGTTGGGATGTACAAAGCTGGCATGTAAGGGGTGTGGAGGGTTGACAGGTAGTCTCGGTTACATGGGAGGCCCTGTATGCTTTGCTAAGAAACGGGGACTTTATCCAGGGTAATGGGCCAGGGAAAGGCTTAACGTAGGGCAGAAACAGGAACCTTGTTTCAGATTTCAGGAATGGGGCAGGGCAGTCAAGCCAGAACAGTTCCAATGTACAGTGCAGAAGACTGTCCTGCCCACCCCTCAAGGTAGCCGAGGGGATCCAGCAAGACCCGGGATTTTTGAGAGCTCTGAATACACGAAGGGTCACACAATTACAAGGCAATCATTGCTTTCACCCCTTGATCACCATTTAAGCCTAGGAATGCAGGAACTCTTGATTCCCAGGCTACAATTTGAATGTTTATTATGCCTGGACTATGTATTTGTTTCCCTTTGAAGTTTTTGGTTTAACATGCAAAAAGCAAGATATAACTCAGTATGTATAATATAACCCATTAAAAAGACAAATATCTGACCGGCTGACTTGGCTCAGCAGTTGAGCGTTGACCTGTGATCCAAGAGATAGAGATTGGATTCTGGGCCAGGGCACGTTCCTGGGTTGCAGGCTCCATCCCCAGTAGGGGGCGTGCGGGAGGCAGAGGATCAATAACTGACTCATCATTGATGTTTCTCTCTCCTCCTCCCTCTCTCTGAAATTAATAAAGATATATTTTTTTAAAAATCTGTGGAGTGGGATCCCTTGTAGTTTTTACTTTTTATCTTTCTAGATATCAATCTATTACAACATATATTACATTTATCTTAAGAGCAATAAAAAACAATTTTCAGAGTGTTCACATGTAGTAAGTGCATTCTGGTATCCCTTAGCATCAGATTTTTTGTCTAAACTTACCTATCAAGTAGATCTGGTTAAATTTTCTGTTGAATCTCTCACTATCCAAACTCCCACCTTTTGTTTCACTAAACTAAGGAACCAAATAGATTTAGTAAGAAAATACTTATTGCTTTTTTTATATTAGCCTCATTGCTGGCTTCATTTTTTTGCCTTTTTTTCATTCTTTCTCATCTATACTTTTTGTAGTTGATGTATTTGTTGAAAGAACAAATATGTCTCTGTGAACTATTTAAATTCCATTTGGAACAAGACAGATTATAGGTAACAGACACATGTCTGGGACGTACTGAAAAATATAGTTTAATAGGAAAACTCAATAGGAACTTTAATAGGAAAAATATAGCTTTAATAGGAATAGGAGCACGATGGAGACAACAGTAATCCCCACATGACCCGCCTCTCCTCTGGGAGCAAATACTGCAGCCAGGGGGCGGAGAAGGACCTAGGAACCCAGTATCAATATCCTTCACCTCCAAGGAGGAGGGCAGGGAGGGATTGTTGAGTTGCCCAGGAAAAAAAAAAGTCAAGAGTCTTCCTTCTCCTGGAACCTATGGAGAAAGAAAGGATTTCTTTGTTATATTGAACCGAAGGAAGAGGTTCCAGCAGAGTAAGATGAAATACTCAAATAGTCAAGGAAGGGCTTTTATATAGGACACTGTAAAAGGCTAGCTCCCCTAAACAATCCTCCAACTTCAACTAAAAATGCTGGGATTAAAAATATATCTAATGAATTATGACCTAAAGTATGCAGATATTTCTTGGGATGCAAAAAGCACCAGCCATAAAAGAAAAAAAAGGTAAACTGGACCTAATAAAAATTTAAAACTTCTGTTCATTTAAAAAAAGTTAAGAAAATAAATAGACAAGACTGGGGAAAATACTCTCAAAAGACACCTAACAATAAACATTTTTAATCCATTGAAAGTAAAGGCAATCTTTGCATTGGGTAAATGATGTAAAACCAGGAAACTGAACAGGTACATTAAAACTGAAACCCCTGCTGTTTTGACAGCCATATGGAGGAAACTGAGACAGATCTACAATGTCTGGTAGGAGAGACTCTGCATAAATTTGGGACCCCCAAGGGGCTACCCCTCTGTGTAAAAGTGAACAAGAAAAAAAAAAATCTAACTCTGCAGAAGGGGAATTTGTGTCACTAGGTAGATAAAGAAAAATCTCCCTGAAATTTTTTAACCATAAGCTGGCCCTTACATGGACTTGCAGCCCAAATCCATACTACCTATGTAGTCCAAAAAAACCTGAAACCAAGTTTATTTAAAGTGATTCTGGCTTGGTAGCACCTCAAAGCACCTGAACAGGAAACACAAATGCTGAGAATACAGCATTCACCCCATGCCTCAAAGAATTCCCACAGTTCAAATTCTAAAAAACTGAACTTACAGTCAAAAAACACAAAACAAAGAAAAAAAGCACCATTAGAGTGTCAGCAGAAATAATGGACAGCAGCATCAGACCCACAAAAATTGTGGGTATCAAAATTATGAGACATACTATAAATAGCCATGTTTAATATTTAAATATATATTTTAAGAACAAAGGAGCAATTTGAAATGATTAAAGAATTGGGAATTATTAAAAATGACAGGAAATTTCAAAAATAATCAAGTAGGGCTCAAAAAAAAATTTATTGTAATAATAGCTGAACTAAACTGAAGACAAAATTAGTGACCTGGAAGAGAACCCTGCAATTACCCAGAAGCAGAATAGAGAGAAAGTGATGGAAAATATGAAAGACAGAGAGAGAAATGGCGAATAGACAGTCTAATAAACAACTAGCCCTAGCAGGTTTTCTCAGTGGTTAGTGTTGGTCCACAGACTGAAGGGTCTAGGGTTCGATTCTGGCCAAGGGCATGTACTTGGGTTGCAGGCCTGATCCCTGGCCCCCTTGGCACATGAGCAGGAGACAACCAATAGATGTCTCTCTCTCTCTGCAGGCTTGATCCCTGGCCCCTCTGGGAGTGTGTGGGAGGCAACCAATGGTTGTGTGTCTCTCACATACATGTTTCTCTCTCTCTCCCCCTCCCTCCCTTCCACTCTCTGAAAAAGCAATGGAAAAAAATGCCCTTGGGTGAGGATTAAACATAATAAAAAAATGAAATAAAAGGAAATGAAAAATACAGAAGGCAAGTACTGCTCCGTGGTCAGTACGAATCTGCTGGATTCTTCCATTACACTTGGGGAAGTGGTACTTTTGTGAGAACTAGCCATGCATGATTGAAAGAATACAGGCTCTCTGAATGCCTAGTAGGGCTCCTCTTTGTCTTTGGTGTTCTGAAGTGTTATGCAATATATCGCGATGTGGCTTTTAAAATTTACCGTTTGCGATTTGTTGGACTTTTCGACACTGAGAATTGAGTTTTCTTTTTCCCCATCAACCTTGGAAAACTTACCAGCCATCACCTCATTGGAGGCTGCTTTCCCCCATGTTCCCGATTCCCGCGCTGGAACTCTAGTTAGTTAGCTGTGTTTTGCTTTGTTTTTAACCCTCACCCGAGAACATTTTTTCCGTTGCTTTTCAGAGAGTGGAAGGGGGGGAGGGAGAGAGAAACATCGATGTGACAGAGACAAATCCATTGGTTGCCTCCCGCACACTCCCAGACAGGGGTCGGGTATCCATCCTGCAACCGAGGTACGTGCCCTCGGCCGGAATCGAACCGGGACCCTTCGGTCTGTGGGCGGAGGCTCTATTCACTGCGCCACACCGGCCAGGGCTCATTTCCTTTTAAATATGTTAAAAGGTTTAGTCCATTGGCATTAAAAGGATAAGAAAAGTGTACTTTCTTTTAAAAAAAGACCACAAGTCTCCCTATTACCAGAACTGTACAAAAAACGGACGGCACCAAAAGAAATAATTGTTTATTCACTACAAGACGTAAATCACTAGATCTGTTTAGTTAGCAAACAGACAGGAAGGGCGGGGGCAAGGGAAAGGATACGCACTTGCAGTTGGTGCAGGTGTAGAAGACCGTCTGCCCCTCGTCGGCCGAGCGCATCTGCCGGGTGCGGAACGCCATGCCCTCGTGCCCGCAGCGCGCGCAGCGCCGGTCCACCTGCGGGGAGCGGCTTAGGGGCCTCGCGCGCCCCGGGCGCTGCTTCTCCAGGGCCCTCCTCTGTGTGGGAACTGGGCCCCAGGCTCCCCGGACCTTAGCAACTGCCCCTCCGCTTCCTGCCCACCCTCCCGTGGGGCCCGCCCTCGAAGTCACTCACTCACCACGGGCCCCTGGAACTCAGGTCCTTCCGCCGACGACGCAGGCACGGCCGTCCCCAGCTTGTGGAACACGACTGAGGTCTGCACGACCTTCCCCTCCAGGTCTGCGCAGGCACAGGGG